TGATGATGACGAACCATGTTTGGAGTTTGCAAGCTACGCTCCGATCTGAACGGCTTCTCTTGTTTTACTTACGAAAAGGCTCCGAGCGACTGGTGAAGTTGTGAGAGAAAACGAGAAAAACCCTAATTGGCTTTATAGACCCTCTCTACACGATGGTAGAGTGTTATGGGCTCATAAATTATCGGCCCATTTCTACATATCCATTTTATTTAGGCGTCATGGTTTTCTCGTTTAATGGACTTTTATTGTGCCTTTTAATTACATTTCGGTAGTTTTTTTTTTTTTTTGTCGTAATTACATTTCAGTACTTTGGATTAATCATTAATGTCATATCATCATATTAGCTTATTATCGTTACCACGTGGACTCGAGTGTAGGGTTTAATTATATAATTAATGTTGACCAAAATTAAGCAGCCTGAGTAAGTTTTGAGGAATAAGGTGAGTTGAGTGATGAGTCGCCAAGCCATAAGGGAGACAAAGGGAGAGAAACTGAAAAGTAAATATCTTCTATTATCTTCCATATAGATTGAATAATTTGGACAAACAAAACTCTCACACTCAGGAGACCGATAAACCGGAAGTGTAATCTTGTTTTGCTTATAATGGAGAAGTGAATCTAAGTTGAGCCAAAAAAAGAAATAAAACTCATACACATGTACTTGTATATCAATGCGATCCACCTACGTCCCGTAAACCCGAATGTTAGGGTTTGTTAAAGTAAAACTCACAGACTAGTGTCACAAAATGCAATCTTCTCAGCAAGGAGATTGGCACAAGGGGCAGAGTTTCTTATGAGATGTGTAGAACCACTTGTCTAAACATGCTTTGTGAAACTTGTATTTGCATGTCACGCAAGCCCGCCTTGGAAGGCTGTGATTCACTGTGTGAATCACACTGTAACATATCGGACAGTCCTCTACTCCTTCAAATTCCTTGTCCGAGTTCCGCTTCCATATTCTTATCGCCTCCGCCAGAGCCCCGTTCTGTTTCCAATAACACATTTAAAAGAAAAGAAAACATTCAGCCAAAACATGCACTACTACATTTAATCATATGTTGTTCTATATTTGTGCGTGAATCTACCAACTTATGCTGCTATCGTATTATGAAGTATAGTACGTACCTGATTACGAACAAACATTAGCATAGACATCAACCACTTCCTTTGCTTCGCATCGCTTATTCCAATACTTTTTGTGCAACTGACATCAACAGGCCTGAGTGGGTAAGAAACTGGGAGACGGATTACGAGATCCATCCCGGTTTCATCCTTTGTATATGTAGCAACCACTTCGTTTGCTGATTTACTTATGCTGACTGAAAAGCTCTCATCATTAAAGTCTGCCTTCTTTATCTGCAGCTCACATAAACAATGAACGGAATATTTGCCAATGCATTAGTTGATCTTCATTGCAACTAACAGAGACGAGAAAAAGGTTGTTATAGCACATACCTGAGACAGTTCGTTCTCTATTAAAGAAGGGCTACACCACGATCTTGTAAATGCTTCTATCATAGATGATGCAGATCGATCACGCATTTCACTAAACCATTCTCTAACGTAAGCTGGGAGGACACGTAGCATCAGACCATATATCGCCCCAGCAAGAGAAGCCATTTTTCCAGTTTCAATAGGCCAGAGTGACTCAACGGTTGACAGGGACGACCCCGTCGTAATTGCAAGAGTTGCTGCAGATGCTACCACAGATAACTCGGGTGGAATTTCCCCATCTTTCTTCTTCAAGCTCTGTGCCATGTATAATTCTAGAGGAATATGCTGAAAAAGACTATCTAATATCAACGGATTTGCAGTCCTCTCTATGTAATGCACCAGTCTCTCTCGTCCTTGTGTTAGTGAAGGTAAAGAGTTAACATGCGAGAGCAACAAAGACCATGTCAGGAATGTTTGCACCTGCAATTAGAAGTGATTATTACAGTGAGTGATTTATCCGTAGAGGAGCAACAAACCAAAGAAGCTTTTGAAAGTAAACTTTACCCTTTCTGGCGCAGTTAAATCCGTATCAAGAAGTTCATAATTTAACTTCTCAACCACACAAGATATTTCATCTCTTAGCCGTAACTTGTCTTCAGATGGCAAGCCATCATTGCTTAAGTCCTGATCATTGAGAGACTCATCACTCAGTGATACATTCCCATCAGCAACAATGGCCAGCCTGGAAATAGGTTCGGTAGACAATACAATGTAGGCAGCAAGTTGCAATGAAGGGATTGGATTGGAAGAGAACATTATTGCATACAAAGAGCTTATGGCCCCCTTGCTTAGACCCCAAAATTCCACTGCTCTGACAGCTCTATCTCTTGCACGTGGAGAAGAGTCCACTACAAGTTGAGCCACCAACTCCCAGAACTGCAAATAATCAGCTCGAAATGAAGCAACAATAGATGCTGCCTCTGAGGAATATGAAGCAGCAATAGCCTCGGCAAGACCGGTGCAGAAGAAAAGGCGCAGAACACCTTCAAGTATCCGATCTTTCACCGGATCCCATGTTTCATCGGCCAAGGAATTCAGATTGTCAACTGATTTATGTTTTACTAATGCATTAAGCAAGGAAAATGCTGAGAGAGCATTCTTAGCATTGTCTATAGAAGGATCAGAAATAGAAACAATATGCCCAAGTCCCTCAAGAGTATCATCCTCCTTGTCCATGGAAGAAACGCCATTAATGAAATCATTGACGTTCTCAGAAGCTTCCTCCATCACAACTACTGCAGACTGAATCAGACGCTTCAAATTAGAAAAGACAAAATCCCAATCTTCCTCATTAAAATCGTTTCCACAGTAACTAACTGCGATCACTATTAGTCTTGCGAGTAGAATTTGGACAGCTGGAAGTTGGGTCACTACGCTTGATGCACCAGGACCTTGCTTTTGCTTGCGGAACAAGTCCAGCAGGAGTGCTCTCTCTTCATTGCTCACATGCCTCTGTAGTTCCTTTGCTTCTTCAGCCTTTTCTCTCACGGGATAACAAGAGATAACAAGCTGAAACCAATCCTGCATATCTGATAAAGACAACAATCAGCTAGGCATGCAAAGCAAAAGCTAAATACCGAAACCTCAGCCTTAAATTGCTTCCTAGACTGTCCATCTAATGCAAATTATGAGATCAAATTAACTTGATTCAAATCTAAACACTGTTCATAGAAACTCAAGATGAGATCACCAGCCATCACCAATAAAAATATATGAAAATTAAATTGGGTCTCACCTTCTGCACTTTGCCAGAGCACCAAAGGAGGAAACGACAAAGACCTCTCCAGCCAACCTGTAAGGAAAACGTCCAGTGGCAGCAGAGTATCTTCACCAGAAACACCAGATTTGATTTTTCTGCGTAATGGTGAGATTATTATGCTCATAATGAAAGGAAAGATTCTCAAACAGTTTTTGCTTGTCTCTTCCCCTATGAAGAGTTTGTCTGTGAGCATTTTGAAAGCATTCATGGCTTCCTCTTCTCTCCAAAGGTCCTCCTTGAACAAAGTGGAAAGCAATGACACTAGAGCCCTCAAAAATGGTTCTTCGACGTCCTCTATGTGATTATTATAGTCAAACCACATGCTCCCTAAGCTCTCTCTCTCATCCTCTCCATGCACAAGAGCACCATTGAGTAGAATGTCAAAAATGGAATCTAGCAAACCTCCACTCGATGGTTCACTCTTACAAAATGAGACGAGCGTTGGCAGGAAAAAATTCTGAACATTACCCCCTGGCCACTCCCATGTGCAGAGTATTTCTGCGGAAAGCCAAGCTTGAGAGGCAAACCCATTATCTTTGTGGTCAACAAGAAATCGGTGAATACCCATTTCCATGATCAGGCTGTTAATGAAAGAAACAAATCTTTGACTCTTGGATTTCCTCAATTCGCTCAAATGAACAGGCACACCATAGGTATTTATGCTAGCTGACGAGCTGGGGCTGACCCACATAGGCCATACATCACTCTCAAGCAGGAGCAGGCAACATATATTTTCTTCATCACTTTGATCCAACGAATGATATTCCAACACCTCGATCATCCAAACACACAATAATGTGAGTTGAGAAGGTTGCAGATCATCCTCAAGTAGAACAACTGACCTTATGGACTGAACCAAAATGCTTGCTGAACTCTTCCGAACATCATAGTTTATGGATTTCCAGAACTGATTATTCATCTTAGAGCAAACAGCATGAACAAAATCACACACAAGATTCCGATCCTTTCTCTTCTCTTTGAGCTCATATAGCGTATTGTCCACTAGTGATGTCATTCTACCCTCCAAGTCAATGATAAAGATAGAAGACCAAATAGTTGAAAATAGAGTGACATCCTGATTCAGAGCCTTTAAACTGAAGAAACTACCATCAATAACTTCTGCTGCAAACTTAGCAACCGCGATCACATCTACAGAACTGCTCAAATCAAACTCTATATCAACAGCCTCAGCAATAAGAGAGGAACATGTATCATTGACTGAACATAGTGGTGACTGTTTGATAAAAGATAGCAGATTTTCGAGGATCCCTCTATATATCAAGACCAAAGAGCTTCTCGACACAAAAGAAATACTGCTGTCTTCAGTTGAACCACCCAGAACTGAACTGCATACACACAAAAAATACAGAAAAAAGACCTGAGAACAAGCAATCAAGCAATATAAAAGACTTGGCTGAGAAATATAAATGTAAAATCTTGGATGAGAGCTTAAATTCAAATGATATAAATATGAGCTTTGTTTAAAACTGTTTACAGGATATGTTGGCTAACTTACCACAGGAACTGAGAAGTAGATGTTGTAGTCGTTGGGGAGGAACGAACAAGATTTATAGCAGTTGATTCTATGAGTCTATGATGCCAATGGTCTGGCCGGGAGCCTATTCTTTGATTCAGCTCCTGCCCGGAACTTCTTTTTGTAATTTCCTTCCTTGCCTTCTCTAAAAGCATTTTCATAGCAGCGAAGTTATTGAAGCCCTGATCTTGTTCATTAAATACATGAGAAATGACATCACTCCATTGCTGAGTGAAACATTCATCATCAAGTAATGAAAGCAGGAGATCTTGTCTAGCCGGAGTCAAAGAGTCATATCCATCCATACACCAAGGAATAAAGATTTCTTGAAAAACTTTAATAAACTTCTCTGTGCTCATATCTCTCCCTTTCTCAACAGGGAGAAGAGTAGAAGTCTCTACATCACCAATTAGCACTGGAACTATCTTTCTCGGTCCAAACACTGATGCTGAAACTGACAAAAGTTTCAAACCATCTAACATTTCCTGAAAACAGAAATACAACCACATAAGTTAATCAAGTAAAAACATCATATGGTTTGCCGTGAGATAAAAGGGTAACACAAAATGGACAATAACTTACAGATGATTTTATCCACGGGAAAGCTTTGGACAGCAGTGGCCCCATAAATTGATCCAAGGGCCAACTCTCACCTTCCAAAACTGAAAATCTCTCAAATAACAAGAGAAAGTCAATCATTCTTCTCACGCTACCCGTAACTATCTCTAAATTTTCCTGCTGAAGCATATTCAAGAAGCTCTCTTGAACAGCATTACAGAAAAAAGACAGCAGGTTCTGTTCAAGCAAATTAATCCCTGAAAGAATTTCTAAGATGCATCTTCCTAGCTCTTGCAGATAACTAAATGAATTTCCCATGCTCAGAGCTTCAGCTGGCTTCCTAGGAATAGGTGGAATGCTGCCCTTAGATAGGTCAAAGAAGTCTGCCCATAGAATCTTCACGAGAACTTTATCAATAAGATCAACTTGGAGATCGTGAATGGAATTGGGACCATCACAATACCTTGAAGCATTACGTAATCCCCAGAGGAAACATTCAGTGGTTGCTCGCAGAAGTGATAATTGATCCGTGCTTGAAGAATCACACATACTCCTCCCGGCCAATAAGTTTTTGAAAAAATTCACAAAGAACTTATCAGCTTCTACAGATTGTTTTGGCATAACTTCCAGGAACAATATCAATGCTGGATAAGAAACCCGTGGGGATCCAAAGCACCCGTTTTTAAGAAACTGCCACAAATGATTTAGAACAGATTTATGAACATTTAAGTGGGCCCAACTTTGAGGAAATTTTCTAGAGAACAGCAAGACAGCCTCCCACATTGCTGAGTGGCAGGCTGGGTTATTTTCTCGAAAAACACCAAGCAGAGCTGGTGCAAGACATCTGACATCACCTTCACCAAAGACTTCAGGAACATTTTTAATGAAGCTGCTCAACAAAGAATAAGTGGCTGACCGGATACTTGGGCTTTCAGATTTTAGAAAGTTCAGAAAGCATTTATGGAAAGAGAACAACTTCTCAGCTGAGGAGGTTGCTACTCTCCTAGCCTTCAAGGCAAGTTTTGATTCGGCATTAACGTTTGCAGAGCCAGCTTTATCAGGTTCGTGGAGCAAAATATCTAGTAGTGTGGCCAACGCCACCAGAGATGACGATATCATCTGAAAACGATGTAAAATAAGACATTGGAATAAGAAAACCCAAATAAGGAAAAATTTCACCTTAAAAGAATCACCCAGATGAAGTACCTGCTGGTGCATTTCTTTTAATTCATCTGAAGCAAGTGCTTTATCAGATAAATTTTGCGGTGTAAGTTTGAGATTTTCCTCCAAATAAGCAAAAATCTCAGCTGAACATAAATTCAAGGCGTCCAATCTCTTTTCCTGAGCAGGGAAAGCTGCCTGTTTGAACATTAAGCAACGAAATGAAAATCTGAAAATGAATTCTATAACAAAGTTCCCACTGACCAGAACTAAAAGGTCACTGATCTAATAAGACGACAAGAGAGCTTATGATAGAAAGTGTGCCATCCAAATAACCTCCACCAATAAAAATGAATGACGAAACGAGGTGCCAACCTGCAAAGACGACTTTGCTGCTTGAGAAACTTCAGAAGCCAAATCAAACTGCGAATACCACCAGGGCCCCATTATAGACTTTAGATGAGGTGCTAAATCTCTCCTGAGTAATATGTAAGAAACTAAGAATTAATGCAGAATACAAAATCATAGAGGGAGAAGGCATTAAATAGAAGTATCGCATGCATGCTAAGACAAAATCAAGACACAGTTTTCTACATGGCACGCTCAACATAGTAAAGCTTCTACAGCAGTGAGTAACAAACGAATCATTCCAACAAAATATTCATAATTCCTTTGATATAGATGTTAGGAAAACCTCAAAGCTAAATCATATCATACTTGTCACAAGAAGACTATCTGACATCCAAGTTTACGATACTAAAGAAAGAGTAAATGAGACACTGCATGGGAATGAAGACAAGAAAAAGGGCATGCATTAGAACATTGAGAGTCAAAGTACAAACCCGACACCAGTGACAACATTACTCATGACGTCATGCGTAGCTCGCCGAACATCTCTATTGTAGTCCAGTATCAACTTCTTGTACTCAAATGTCTGTAAAATTATGATGAAAATAGTCAATCAATTTTGGAAAACGATCAACCAAATGCACTGCAACATGAATAGACAGTGATCAACATGCTGCAAGGAAAAGACTAATTTGATTCAATTCCATCAGCCTGAGTGACATTCTCAATCCAGATACGATTAGCACAACCCAACATCAAATTTAATACAACTTCTGGAGCTTAGGCTTTCTTCTTTGTTACAACAATATTCATCTGAAGGTTCACACATAGTACGTTGACAGAGAAACATACCCATTGTGGAATTATTGGCAAAAGTTCCTTCCCTTTCTTCTGCTTAAGCAACTCTGACAAGGAAGCAAGAGCTTTAATCTGTTGACACAAACAAATCACAATCAAGAAAACTTAGAAAGGACAGGTCTTGCAAGTCGATTGAGTATCCAGGAAACCCATTACCTTTGTTGTAGGATCCTTCCTTGAAAGCCGTTGCAAGTGTTGGGCCACCTCACTATCCAAATCCTACAATCAATCCACAAAGATGAGAGAGATTGAGAAACAAGTAGGCAGAATCAAACGAAGAGGGACAAATCATACCAAGAAGGGAGCAGCAGAGTCTTCGTTTGACAGAGAAGTATCGAACCTAGAGCTACCGACATAGCCACCAAAACCTACAGCAGCGGCTGCAGAGCCAGACGGCAACAGAGAAGCTGCCAAGCTGTTCAGAGAGCTCAAATTCAGTACCAAACCAACGAAGCATAGACTCGAAAAACCAAAACAGGAGTAAAATTTAAACAAGAGGAGATAATTGAAGGATTTTACCTGCTGCTTGAAGGACGAGCCTTGCTCCTTGCAGCATCTCCTTTGGGTTTACCCATCTCGTTCTACTCTAGACGGGGGAAAAAAAGGAAAGCCTGCGTATTTAGAGGAATTACAGGAAGAGAGCGAGAGGGAGAGATGGGTTTGATCGGTCTAGCATAGAAGCAATTAGGTGGAAGTCAAGGATAGGAGGGGAGGGCGGTGGCGGTAGTCGTCGCCGTCGCAGGAAGAGGAAAAGAAGAGTTTGTCGGGGTCGAGGGTGTGCATTGGTATTGGGTTCGCTGAGTCAGGCCCAAATATTAACGGCCCAATTAATACTTTTAAACCTCAGAAAAATGGAAGGTCAAGTCGCTTTTCTCAAATTCTCAAATTCCTCTATATTTTACTTTCTTTCTAATTCGACCCCATCTAAAAAGAATTATATAATATGACCCCACCGTACTTGTGTTATATACGTGGTCACTATTTCTGTTTCCCGTTCAAATTTGAAATCATGTCAAAATACTAATTCAATTGTATTTTTATTTTATTTTTGAGAAATAATTCAATTATATTTGCATCTAGTATACCGTCATTTGTAGATTCTGTCATATATAAATTATGGTCTATTGTAAATGACGATTTATCATTCACGTAAGATTGATGAGTTTGTATATTTTACAATATGAGCTAGTTTTAGGACACGTATAATAATGATTCTGATGAATTTATATTACAATCAAGAGTAATTTGCATATTCTCATGATGTTTAGATTT